AGAAGAAGTTGTGTCTTGCACACATTTGTTGCATGTATTTCATCAGGTTCCTGCTAGGAGAACAGGGTGAACCTAATGGTTCCTAGCGTAACACTTAAACAGGTACGCGTTAAAGTGCGTCTTAACCACAGCGCAGACCGTGTGAACTTCAATGTCTAGGTAAGTGAGGACGCTGTTCCTAACAGTTGTGTTAATGTCTTTTATTTATTTATTGTTTCTGCAGGTATCCTGTAAAGAAGCGTTACTGCCTCACAGTGTCCTTGACCTCAGAGTCAAGTCCCGGAAGTATTGAGGTGGAGTTGATTTCATAACGATGGAAATGACCAAGGTTGTTTGCAGGTGTCCCGCTAGAGCAAGCTGTGTCCTTTTACACGTATATCGTCACGTGCTTTTCCGGTTCCTGTCAAGAGATGAAGCTTAGAGCGGTCATTCTCTGGGGACACGTATGGTATCCAGGTAAGTCATGATGTGTAATGATGTGCACCTTCACCATATCAGACCATCCGCTCTTCACATTCGTAGGTCAGTGTCAGTGATTGAGTAAAGTTACCTACCGTGTGTGTTTCTTTTCCGAGTGGTCAGGTAAGAAATGACAGAATTTTACCCATCGTAGCAATCGTGAGACGCTGCTGTTTGCCATTTTAGAGAAAATTTGTGTTTAGTCGTGGGAGTGTTGAGCAGCTCGTGGGTATCCAGGTCACGATGATGGAATTGTGTGGCACGGTGTCTTTGCAAGTGAGCTGGGAATTGATGACGGCGTGTCTAACTTTGGCATCGACCTTGGAGTACGGCATGAATCCAGGGAGAACTGATGGGGCCTGCAGTGATGGCAGTGGGCAAGGTGGTTTGCAGTGTCCTAGTAGAAAAGGTGTGTCCACAGACGTATGTGTCTCAAAGCGTTCTTTACATTCTTGTCAGGAAGTCATGGTGAGTCTCGAAATGACCATTAATGGGACTTGGCTTGTATCCAGGTAAGTGACGACGTGGGCCTTTAGCTGCCTCAAACAGTCTGATCGTCACATACGTAGGCTAGCGTGGATGGTGTTCCTAACTGTTGTATTACCATGGTTTCGTGTTGGTGTTTTTGTAGCAGGTGTTCAGTTAAGAAGTGACATTGTCTCATGCAGTGCTAGTAAGTATTTGCCTTTTTTATTAGAATTTTGACAGAACGTGTGTTGAATAGAACGCGTGTTTCAACAGTGACAGAGGGTAGTGCAGGTCCAGGCAACTTATTCTACTGTTGAAATATTAACCGTGAGGTTTCTTCCACAGGTACTCGTAGAAGAGGTGACCCTGGGCCTAACAGTGGTGTTGACCTTAAAGCGCTTCCAAAATCCAGGTAGTGCATATGCTTCCCCTAACGATGGAAGTGAGCAAGATTATTTGCAAGGTACAGATTTTGCATATAAAAAAGCACGTCCTTTACACAATTGTGGAATGCATCTCTCAAGTTTCTAGCGTTCATTGTGACGTCATAATGAACGAAATCACAGTTGTCAGTGGGACCCTGCTAGTAACCAGGTATGTGATAAAGTGAGTCTCACCCCAATGCAGGTTATTAGGTTTTCGGATATCTAGGCGAATGAGAATGGTGTCTCTAACACGGTGCACTATGCTTTTTTTATAGGGTTCCCGTTAAGTCCTTTGGCTCGTGTACAGGTAGCAGACGACGTGACGTTAATTCACTGGATAACCTTCTTTTTTTCAGGTAGGTAGGTAATGAGTGATATTTGAAAGATTCTTAAATTAACCTTGTTCTGGCATGTAGTATTTCAGAAATGAGTTTGTCCCTAATAGTATTAGTCAGCATGAGAAATTCTTCTTCTTCAGAGATCATTTTTGTTACACTGTTGTGATGGTTTCCAGGTAATTTATTGTATTTTCCATACCCATAATACTGACCATGGGATTTTTGCAGGTATCCCTTCAAAAGAGGAAGGTTCTCTTGTTACGGTTTGACCTCAGGTTTCTGCAGTTACGCAGAGAATGTTTATGCATCCGTAAATGATAGAAATGACCAGTGGAATTTGCAGGTGCACAGGTAGAATGAGGTGTGTACTGAGCACATTTTGCGTGATGTGTTTCCAGATACATGTCAAGATCCCTAGGTGGGCTTCTCAGTGGCAGTTAACATGTGACATTGCTGGTATCGAGGTAAGTGATGGCCTGGGCCTAAACCACAGCACAGGCCTTCTGGCCTTCATGTGTCTTGGTGAGTGATGTTGTGCCCTCACACTCAGATTAACGTGGTTTCTTTTTTTCATGCAGGTATTCAGGTAAGAAATGATAGAGCTTTACCAATTCTAGAAAACACGTTTTCGCTTTTTGTATCAGAAGAAGTCTGTGCTTCACCCTGTGCGTGTTGAAGGATGACACATACCTAGGTATTTATCATGGTGTCCCCAACCCCAGTAGTACCCACAGGTTTTTTGCAGGTATCCAGTGAAGTAATGATGATTTTATTTGACATCAGTACTGATCTTTCATTAATGAAAACATCCAGGCTTGGTTGGTGTACTCCATAAGGATATTTGCAGATATCCTGGGAGAAAAAGTTGTGTCCTTTAACAGAGCTTTCCGAATGTCTTTTTCAGGTTCCTGTCAAGGCATCCCTTTGAACCTAGCGTTGCTGTTCACGGGGGACACTGTTAGAGTGCAGGCAAGTGACGATGTGGGCCTAACTCACGGCACAGGCCCTCTGATCTCCAGATAGCCCGCTAAAGGATGATGGCGTCTCTCAGGGTTTTAGTTACCACAGTTTCTTAGCTGGTATTCAGGCAGAAAACTATAGAGTCCTTACTGATTCTGAAAACAAGTCGTTTTCACCTTTCATAACTTAGAGAACATTTTTGTTGAACCCTGTGAGTGTTGATGCATTGCCACATCCACGTAATTAACATTATGTCCTCAAGCGCAGCAGTAACCGTGGAAACGTTGCAGGTGTCCCATAAAGAAACACTGTCTTACCTGGCAGCGGTCTAGACCTTGGAATACCGCAAGTATTCAGTTCCAGTTGATGGCCTCATAACGATGCAGTGACCGAGGTTCCTGCAGGTGTCCTGGAAGAATAATTGCATCCTTTCACACGTACATCATAATGTAGTTTTCAGGTTCCTGTCGAGTGACCTCAATGAACCTGACAGTGGTCATTCAGGGGGGACATTTCTGGTGTCCAGCTATGTCACGAGGTGCACCTTGGCTACGTGAGACCCGCCGGTCTTCGTGTATCTAGTTGATCGATGTTGATTGCTTGAACTCGTTTTACCATGTGTTTTCTTTTCAGATATTCAGGTAGAAATGACAATAGTGTTTTTTTTTTACCAGTGCTAGCAAACGTCTTACTTTTTCATATTAAAGAGGAAATGTGTGTTTAAGCATGTGAGTGTTGCGCAATCCATGGGTATTCACGTAATAAAACTGGAGTTGTAGGTCACACAGGTGTTCCCCTAGTATTTTTGCAGGTAAGAAGTCAAAACATGATGGCGTCTCACAATGGCATAGATCTTGCAGTAATACAAGATTTCAAGTAGAGTTGATGGGTCCTGCAGTGATGGAAGTGGAGAAGGTTATTTGAAGTGTCCTGGGAGAAAAGATATGCTGTAGACACATTTGTCACAGTTTGTTTTTCAGGTTTCTGTCAAGAGACCACGATAAACCTCGTAATGCTCAATGACGGGACTTTGCTTTCATCTGGTCAGTAACGATGTAGACCTATGTTTATTGAGGACCCTACAAATAATCTGCCCATCTGACAGGTAGGTAGGTTAAGTGTGGATGGTTTGGTAACTTTTCTGTTACTATGTTTTTTGCCTAAAGAGGTCAGTTAAGAAATGATATTGTCCCAACCAATGCTACTAATCGGTTTAGAGTTCAGGTAGAATGTATGTTTCACCTTAGCAGTGGTGGAGGGATGTGCAGGAATCCGGGTAAGTTACCCTGCTGTTCCACCCCAGCCCGTTGAGCATGAAATTTTCACAGGTACTCAGACAAGAGATGATCGTGTGCCCAACCGTGGTGTTAACCTTGAAGTGCCTGCAGGACCCACATAGTGTTGATGATTCCCCTAATGATGCCAATAATCAGAATTAATTACAGGCAGGCTTTTTTAGTTTTGTCTTTAGGTGAAACGGTTTTTTTTGCCGTAAACTCCCTTGTCAAATGTGTTTCTTCATGTTATATTAGTGGTGACATTGCACTGAACCTAGTGACGGTCGTTAATGGGACCCTGCGAGTAGCCAGTTAAGTGGAGCTGAGGACCTTACAGCAGAGTATAGACCAAGTGTCTTCAGATGTCTGCATAAGAGAGGATGGTGTCCCAAAGCCCGAACACAGTGTTCCCGTAGTTTTTCTCCCTGCAGATATCCTGTTACGGTGTTTGCTAGTATGAAGGTACGAGATGTCACATGAATTCATTTAGACCTTCTTATTTTCAGGTATGTGTGCAATGAATGGTATCTTGAAGACTCTTGATATTTTAACTTACAGATACTATATTAGCTTTATGTTCGGCTCGTGCGCCGTAAAGGTATTAATTTGTCCCTAACAACACAAGGAGACACGATGTTTTACTATATTCATGTTCCAAAATACCATTTTATAGCCTCCTACTGCTAAGAGGCTCTGCAGCTATCCAGGTAATTTATCCTATTGTTCATCACCAGAGTAGTGAGCATGGAATTTGAAATACCTCTTCAAGAGAAGAAGGTATCTCTTACTAGGGTTTAGTCCCAGACTTCTGCAAGTGCCCAGGTAATGTTGATGAGTCTCAGAAGTATGCAACTGACCAAGGGTATCTGAAGGTGTACCCTAGAATGATATGGAAATCAGACACATTCCCTCAATGTGTTTTCAGACTCCTGTCAGGACGTGATGGTGAGCTACCAGTGGTAGATGACAGGGGACGTTGGTGGCATCTAGGTAAGTGATGATGTGGGCCTAAAGCACATCCCAGACCATGTGTCCTTCACGTACGTAGGTAAGTGATGATGGCGTTCCTAACGCTTCTCGTTAGCGTGATTTTGTTGCACGCGTTCAGGTGAGAACTTCTAAGAGTCCTTACTAATTCTAGTAAACACGAGTTTACACTTTTCGTATTTTAGTTAGAATTTGTTTAATCCTGTAAGTATTGAGGAGTCGTTCACCTCCAGGTAGTTGTTGTGACGTCTCTCCGCTGTCGTATCCATAAGATGTTTGCAGGTACCCAGGTAGGTGCCACTGGTCTCTCCTGACAACAGTGTTGACCTTGAATGGATGCAAGGAGCCAGGTAGAGTTGATGTGTTCTTTAATAATGGACGTGAACAAGGTTAGGTGCAGGCATCCTGGTAGAAGAAGTTGTGTGTTGCACACATTTGTTGCATGTATTTCATCAGGTTCCTGTTAGGAGAACAGGGTGAACCTAATGGTTCCTAGCGTAACACTTAAACAGGTACGTGTTAAAGTGCGTCTTACCACAGCGCAGACCGTGTGAACTTCAATGTCTAGGTAAGTGAGGATGCTGTTCGTATCAGTTGTGTTAATGTCTTTTTTTTTTTGCAGGTATCATGTTAAGATCTTTGCTTGTTAAGCCTGTATGAGATCACGTGATATTCAGTGATTCAAGACGTTCTTATATTGAGATATCTACATAATTTCTGATTTCAGTGTCTTATATTGACTTTGTTTTTGACATGTGATCTGTTAGGAATTTAATGTGTCCCTAATAATACTGGTTGGGATGAGATTTTTAGTAGTCTTCTTTAGAGATAATGTGTATTTAACACAGTAGTGAGAGATGCATTTGCAGATGGGACCTTGCTGGTGTCCAGGTAAGTGATGATGTGAGCATAAAGCACAGCACAGGCCTTCGGAACACCGGATATTTGAGTAAGTAAGGATGTGTCCTAACACTTCCTGTTACCATGGGGTTTTTTTCAGGGATCAGGGTAAGAAATAATAGTGTCCTTGCCAATCTGGAAAGCAATAGTTTTCCCTTTTTATAGTTTAGAGAAAATTTAACACTCTTAAGTGTCGAGGGATTGCACATATGCAAATATTTATTATGGATTTCCCACCACACTACTTCCCATAGGGTTTCTCAGATGTCCAGTCAAGAAAGTATGGCTTTCCAACCTTGGTGTTGACCTGGGAGTACTGCAAGTATCCAGATAGAGTTGATGCGTCTTATAATGATAACGTAATCAAGGTGTCCTGGTAGGAAGGCCATATCTCATGTCTTTTCCAGGTTCCTGTCCAGACCTCACTCTGAACCTAGCGTTGGTGTCAATGGGCGACAGTGTTGGGGGGCAGCTGTGTGACGATCTCGGCCTCACCCACAGCACAGGTTATCTGACCTGCGCATACGTAGGTAAGTGATGAGTGTGAGCCTGACACTTGTTACAATGACTTGTTTGCAGGTATTCAGGTTAGGACAGATTCCTTTCCAGTTCTTAAAACATTAGCTTTCAGTTTTCATATACCTACGTACATGAAGATCAGACCATCTGTTTTTCATGTACGTAGGTAAGTGTTGATGGCATTCCTAACACTTCTTGTTAGCTAGATTTTGTTGCAGGTATTCAGGTAAGAAATGCTAAAATTTCTTAATAATTGTAGTAACCATGAGTTTATGTTTTTTACGTTTTAGAGGCTAGTGATATTTAACCCTGTGAATGTTGTAGGTTGATCATATCTTGTAAGTGTTTTGAACTTGCCACCACAGTCGTAACCATCGGTTTTTTGCAGGTGTCCAGTTAAGAGGTGAAAGTCTTACCCGACATTGTTGTTGACCTGAATTAACGCACGTACCCAGGTAGAGTTGATGTGTTCCATAATAATGGAAGTAAACCAGGTTAGGTGCAGGTGTCCTGATAGAACAAATTTTAATCTTTTTCTTTTTAATTAATTCAGTTATTTAATTTTGGCTGCATTGGGTCTTTGTTGCTGCCTGTGGGCTTTCTCTAGTTGCAGCGAGCAGGGGCTACTCTTCGTTGTGTTGCTCAGGCTTATCATTATGGTGGCTTTTCTTGTGTGGAGCACGGGCTCTAGGCACGTGGGCTTCAGTAGTTGTGGCTCTTGGGCTCTAGAGAGCAGGCTTAGTAGTTGTGGCGCACGGGCTTAGTTGTTCTGCGGCATGTGAGATCTTCCCAGATCAGGGCTCGAACCCGTGTCCCCCTGCATTGGCATGTTGATTCCTAACCACTGCGCCACCTGGGAAGTCCCACAAATGGTATATTTAAACACATTTGTTGAATGTGTTTTTCAGGTTCCTGTCACGAGATAACTGTGAACATAACAGTGGTTGCTAACAGAACCTTGCTTTCAAACAGGTAAGTGATAAAGTGGATCCTACCACAGTGAAGACCCTCTGATCTTCAATATGAAGGTAAGTAAGTATTGTGTCCCAAACATTTGTGTTACCATGTTTGTTTTCAGTTATTAGTATACAAGTATGAGATGTTGTGATGTTAACTCATTAAAGACATTCTGATTTTTAGATATCTATGTAATTAATTTTTGAGACTCTAATATTTACCTTGTTGTTGGCATGTGTGTAGTTAAGAAATTAATTTGACCCTAATTATATTAGTACAAATGAGATTTTTTT